CTTTTTTAACAGATACTAGACAAATTTCTTAGGTATCAACAATAAAATAACATTAAAATAAATTCAATCACAAGGGAAAAAAAATACATTTAGATGAATTTAAAAACTTAAAAAAAAATTTAATATAGGCAATTAAAAGCAAAATTGTAAGGTATAAAAAAAGAAAAAAAAGAAATAATTGACTAGTTACAATAGCCATAACTTCAAAATTTAGTAAAATAATTAACTTTTTAAAATTTAATATAATACTGATTTAACTTGATAATTAAATTTGTTTACAACTTGGAAGATTAGAGAAGTAGGGGTTTAACTGTATTTATTAAATAAAAGTTGATTTATGACACATGGTACCCTGTAATATTATGTTATACAATTGAAAAAAATTATACACTTATGTAACATCTTATATTATATACAAAATATTTATTATTAATATTTAAATACTGAATAAATACAAGCTTTGAATATCGGAAAAAGATCAATATATACCTTTTATAACTTATAGCTGAATCACATATTGTTTGATAAAAACAAATAGTATATTAACACTTAAATTCTTAATAATAATCCTAGTAATTACTTAGAGAATGATAAATTAATAATTTTAGTTTTTTCTTATTCAATGTATAATGTTTAAGTTTTATATACTTAGAGCTGTATCTTTGTATCTTAGGTAATAAGTTTAGTTGCAAAGATAAATATTAACTATATGTCTATTTAGGAGCAAAATGAGCTGACATTTAAAACTTTAATTGATAAAAGATATATATAGTTCAATCAAATAGAATCCAAGCAATTATAAAGAAAACAAATAAGAAAAATATATTTAATAAAATGATCAAGAACACTTCAAACAATATTAAACCAAGAACAATATGAGTTACTAAAAGAAGCTGCCAAATTTTTCCACTATCATTGTTAGGCTGCATTGATTTTGATCATACTACTGTAAGTATATAATTAAGGTAGGTCAATGATACATAGAATAATAAAACTACTAATATTAACCAGTAATAACCCATATTATAACATTCCTGGTCGGAAATTTAAGACATGTATTCATAAACATTTTGTATGACAAATACATATTAACTATATTTCAATTGGTAGTAGGTCCATACACATTTTATGGTGAAGCAAAAGCTTAATTAAATATTCTCTGAAAACAATACCTAAATTGGTTACAATATAACTAAGATTAATAATAAAGGCTCTATAACTGAGACAAAAATATATAATATAGATACGATAAATTTATACTTCATTGGACAGAATTATTTCATCATGAAGTATTTTAAAATTTTCTTACTACATGAGGAAGACACTATATTCAAACTAAATCTTACTGCAAAATAAATAATACCCTCCCATATCTTATTTTAAATAGTAGATTTAAAAAAAAATTTTCTATTACCATATAAACACGATCATATACATGATTATAAAAATATAGAATTTGACTTATTACATATTATTAGTATGATATTGCACAAATTAATTTAATTTATAAGAGAACTAATAAATTAAACAAGTAAAAAAGTAATAATAATAAATGTAAAATAAATATAAATATAAAACAATATAAAAAAATACATAATTTTAATATAAATTTTAAATAAATAAATAATTGTTCCGTAATAGTTCACTTAAAGATAATGATTTATTTTATCAAGTTAAATTCAAATAATTTACTTTAATGAAATAAATTAAATATAGGCTTAAAATTTAAACTTTTCTATAATATATTCCATTATTTTCAGTTTGTTAAATAATAATAGCCAGTACTGATAAACCAAATTGTCATTACACTAATGATGCAATCTTAATTAGGATATATAAATGAATCAATAATTGTTAATAACCATGAAAAATATACAAATAAAATATGAGTTCTAAATATATATTGGAAATGCAAAAATGGTAAAGGACTATAAAATATTTTAAAATCTGAATGCATAATTGTCTTATACATTTTTAAAATTATAGGCGAAATCCTAAAGAACATAAAATAATATTAAAATTTAATAAATTAATATATGAAGAATATGCTTGAAAAAACTTAATGCATTGAAAAACAAATATATTACAAATCAGACTTAACACCAAAATTTTTTAAAAAAAAATTTAAATTGCCACTTAGCACTTTTACAATTCAACTAGTGTATATGTTACGGGTAAAATTAAAAAAATGGATAGTTTACAAATTACCCAGGTAAAGTACACCTTATTCATATGAATAGTATTATGTGTACATTATCCAGTCCAGTGTGCTATAAGTTAAATTCGAAAAAAAAATTATTAAATACCTAAACTATGTATTATAAAGTTATTATTTAATAATAAAAAAATTTAAAAAATTAAATAAAGTTATTTATTGGAACACTTTGAGACATTATGAGTTGCAAAATATCTCCCCAGATTTACATTTAATCATACATTTATTTGTTAAATGATTATTTTCGTACAAACATTTTTTAAAACTTTGACCATCAAAAAAATTGTGCATTAGTTATTTCACAAAAAGATTTTATTGTAACCAACACTTATAAAATATTTATAAAAGTTTCATTATGATTTATTTGTTATTATTCACGTTTCTTATTTCAGATAGTATGTTATAATATTTTGATTCCATTAAATTTACCGAATTTTTATTATTTTCATTAATTTATTTATTATAATTTTCATATAATTTCTCTTTTTATGAAGACAAGTTTTTTTTTCAAAAAACTAAATGATCAAACATTAATAAACAGAACAAGTGAACTCGAAAACCAATAGCACCGTATGTAGTTTAAAATTATTATACAATATTAATGCACACGATTTATCATCAAGTAGGTACAATTTATGTTTCATCGTATTTTATTAATATTATCTACAGTTCATATTTTGTCGTATTTTATTTTATGAAAACACTTTATCCACTCAAAGGTAAATAATGTAAAAATTACTCGGTTAATGTACCTACAAAATAAACGTTTTACAAATATGTTTACTTTATCCAATGGGCATAGGTAATGTTCACATAACCCTATTTTCTTACTCTACCCGTAACATATATACTACACATAAGTATTCATTATAAAAGTAATAATAAAAACTAAAAAAATTAGAAGTGCCATCAAACTTATTTCAAAATAATAATACAGTATAAGTAAAATACTTAAAATTTAACTTTTTAAAATATGTAACCAGTCAAAATATTAAAAAATTAAAATTAAATATATAATTATAATTCAAAGTACAAAATATGTTTTATCATATAATAATACTTTCCAATAAATATAATTTTATTAAATATAATCTTTTTAAAATTAAAATCAAAATTTTGATGATTGATCCATTTTTTTTTTTTTTTTTTTTTTTTTTTTTTTTTAATTTGAGAAATGTTACATAATAATTTAAGTATAATAAAATAATATATCAATTTAACATTTATAAAGAGGTAATATAATTTGCAAAATTAAATGAGGAAAAATATATATCAAAAATATTTCATGGAGAATAAAAATTATCGCTTCACTAGTTGATAAGTTTGATAATATAAATAACAATGTTAATAGATATACGTGGTAATAAAGGCTAATTATAGTTATCTAGTTAAGGACACCCCCACTAATGAACAGAAGGGGTATTGCTCTCAATATTTTTTAAAAATATATGTATCTACATGTAAATCATACATATCAAAATTTGTAGTGATACAACATATTCTAAAAATTAACATTACATTGGAGATCTTACAAATAAAGTTAAAGTTAAATTTTACTGAACTACCATAATCAAATAACATTCAATGATGATCAATACTATAATGATACTCTAGTCCAGTGTTTCTCAACTGTTGTGACGCAACACACTGGTGTGTCGCTGGTTAAGTCCAAATGTGTTGCATGAAATACTAATATTAAATGACACAAAATGTACAAAGATGGTTGACACTATTTAAAAAAATTAATAAGTATTTGATATAATTTCTATGACGAATAAAAACAGATTATCAGTAGTGCGTGGATTTGTATGCATTTACAGATTTATTCTGGTTGATCATATGATATGCTAAGTGAACACAAAGTTTGTTTCATAATATAACAATTTAAAAAATGAAACTTTTTTATTGCATATTTTTGCATATTTTGACATTTTTCTAGTTTAAGGGCTTATTTTACAATTTTCATAGCATATTTCATATATTAAACATTTTTGAAATATATAATATTATAATAAAAGAAAAAAATATTATATTTTTATAGTTCCAAATAATACCAAAATAAATTAATAATAGGTATACTTGTAGTAAATTTATTTTAGGATACATTTTTAATATAAATTGGTTCCGAATTTTTGTCTTATAGATTAAAACTACCTACAAAAAAAGAAAAAAAAATTAAGAAAAGTAGATTAGTATTCATAGTTGGGTTTGAAAATGTTTTAAATATATTGTATTAAAATAAATGTTAAAAAAGATTTTTTTTTTTGCTAATTTGTTTTATGCATATTTTTTTATTTTTCGTGCATATTTTAAAATTTTAGTGCATATATTTATGCATATTTAGGGTTTTTTTTTAACGCATATTTGATTGATTTTTAATGCATATAAATCTGCACTCTAGTTATCAGCTATTGATATTAAATAAATTTTATCATTATCGTAGTTTTAATTGATAAACGTTGGTTTATCGATATTTATTTTCAAACAATGTATATTATACAGCAGCGATTCCCAAACTGTGCACCGCGGTGCTCTAGGGGCACCACAAACATTTTCTAAAGGCACCGCGGTCTACGTACGGTTCATAACAAATAGTTTAAAATGTATAAAATTGTTTTTCCTTATGGTTTTCGTAAAAACTTTATAGCAAATAATATAATATTTTCTATTGTATATTCGGATATTCTCATTTTAACCTTATAATAATTTTTATAATAATTATAATCATAATAACAATGATTTTTATTTACTTATTTTTTAAGTTTAAAAATGCATTGATTTATAATTAAATTAAATTTTAAGAAAATTAATAAAATTGGTTATCAATAGGTTTTTTTTTGTTCTGTAATGTAGTTCACAGCAGGACACCGTGGATAAATTAGGTCCAAAAAAAGGCACCGCTGAAAAAAAGTTTGGGAACCGCTGCTATACAGTATATTTATATTTTACATAATTAATTAATTATAAATATTTAATATTACCCATTATTCTTATTTTTATTGTTGTGTCGCAAAGTATGGAATATATTAATAGTGTGTCACCATAATACAAAAGTTGAGAAACACTGCTCTAGTCACTAGATACATGTAAAGTGTCTCTGATCCATATATCGTTACACTAATGACAATACCCCAAAACTGACATTTTACATAAAATGAGTTTTTGGTGTCAAAATATTTGTTATCTCCTCATTCTCCAACATTTATTTTCTGTATAATAACCTAAAATAAATTATTAAATTATTTCCCTTCCAAATTGGATATATTATTTAGTATAATCTATACTAAACAAGGTTGTAACTGGGGGGGTCCAGGGGTCTAGACTCCCCCGAAATTTTCAAAGTAGAAACATTTTAGCGATGAATATAATTTATTAACAATAAATTGTATAAAATAATAATGTTTTTCCCCCCCCCCCCCGAAATTTTTTTCCATTACGGCCTTGATACTAAACTTGATAAAACTATGAGGTTAATATTTGTTAATATTTATTCAGTTTTTTCACTCTTTTGAACAATTGGTGAAATTTAGATAAGTGGTATTGTCATTAGTGTAACGATATGCTACTTTAGCCATTAATTTTAACACTGGATGATATTTTATACTGTGGATAGATACACATATCCAATTCATTAAATTTGGTCAGAATTGTACTAGTTACATTAATTATAAATTAACTTTAGAATAAAATAAATATGGAATATTTTTCTCAAACGTAAGTTCTTAGATACCAAATCAATAAAATGTATTATTGAGAACCTCGATGATCAATGCCAGGTGAACTATAATCCAATTGAGACACGTTTGTATATGTTTGTTGAGTTCCATGTACTCGTCCATGTTGTTTTAAATGTTTTTTTAATTTAAATGAGTCACCACATATAGTGCATCGAAAAGGTCTTTCTGAACTGTGTACTGCTGTATGACCTTTAAGAGTTCCACTACGTAGAAATGCTTTACCGCATACGGCACAAACATAGTTACGTACACCAGTATGATGAGTTAAATGTGCAACCAAATGACATTTTCTAATAAAACTTTTATCACAATACTGACATTTATGAGATTTAATACTTTCATGCATTTGTTTCCAGTGAATTTTCATTGAGGATCGTTGAGCAAAACTTTTACCACATGTTTCACAAACAAATGGTCTTTCTCCAGTATGTGTACGTCTATGATCATCAACATTACGTTTTTCAGAAAATGAACGTCCACAGATGTCACACTGATAACCCCGTATTTTTTCATGAAAACATATAATATGACGTCTCAAAAATGCTGCTGTGCGGAACTGTTTACTACAAATTTCACATGTATATGGTTTTTCACCTGTGTGAACTCTCATATGATACACAAACTTATATCTTCTACCTTCAACAGCATAATTACATTGATCACATTTGTAATATAATTTGTCATCTATCATAACTTTATATTTATCGTAAATATCATTTTTTAAGATTGGTTTTTTATTTTCAAGCATATGGGTACGGACATGTTTTAAAGTCATAAACTTGCTAGTAAATTTTTTATTGCAGTAGTAACATTTGAATGTTTTAGATTTTGTATCAGAATCTATTAAATCATCTCTTACCTCTTGTATAATTTTCTCTGAATCTAAATCAGAATCAATTTTTTGATCAATAGTTTTTGATTTAATCAAATTATTACTACTCAATGGTATTGACTTAGAAGGAGTATATTTTATACCTAAATCCAAATCAGAATCTTCATCAAAAATTTCACCATAATTTATACTTTCAACAGCACGTTTACTTCGTCGAATTGGTATGTGAGTGTTATTATGTAGTTCCTGATCATGCTCTGACTTTTCAAGTGAGGTATTAAAAGACAAATTACATTCAATACATATAAAATTACAGTTCTTTGTCTTAGCATCACTTAAATCAACAATGGTTGAAATATTATTGTCAATATTTTTTTCCACATGATTGTCCATATTCATATCAAAGTTAACAAACTTTATTGGTAATATATTTGAATGAAAACCATGAACATAGAGATCATGCTTAACTTTATCTCTGATCTTCAGAAATTTTTCTGGACAAAAAGAACAGGAATAATTGTTTGAAAGTGAAGTTTCTTTAGTAGTAACACTTTTCAATGTTGGATCCGTTCCTCTCAATTCAATGTACCTAGAAAACCATAAGGGCATAGAAATTATGTTTGCCCTAATTTGTTTTCACATGTACTTTAACAAGAATATTTTTTTTTATCTCTTTGATCACGTGAGTTTTGAACAAAAAAATCTATTTGTATACCATCTTGAACACTGTTTAATTTGTTAACAGCAAAAATATTTCCAATATTGATTTAAACACCATGAGTTAATGCTCAACAGCATGACTATTTCCATCTTACATCTGTTTTAATTCTTGGAAGTACTTAAAATATGTTATAAACAACGAAAAAATATAAATATTTTTGTTTCACTATTTAGTGTAAAACTGAAAAAATTATAATCATCATATCAAAATTATACCTACTCTAACATGACGTTGAAAAAAAATCTTTATTTTATTAAAAATCTAGTGTGGGCTAACAAATTATATTAAATACAAAAAATAAAACTCATTAATCTTTAGACAATACTATATTTTTTTTTTTCAATATATATATAGATAAATATAGAATATATGATAGATATTTTTAAAATGCATATTTAGTTTTTAAAAATTTTTCTAAGAAATAATTATTTTTTACTATAAAAAAATTAAAATATAATTTAAAATATTTTTAATGATTAGTATTACTAATAGATTATTTCCATTCATAAATGTATGATGTGAAAATTCATACATATCAGCCAATAGAAATTACATATAAATTGTTTAGACATTTTGAAGTATTGAAAACAGTTAAAGCATATTAATTTCTTAAAATGTAAACTTAAGACATTATTCTTTGAGAAAATATAACTAAATAATATGAAAAACAACCAGAGATTAAGTGAAAAAAATTATAGAATAATAGAATAAAAATAATAATGCCGTAATAACTGTTTCATTAGCTAGATTTTTTATTTTGCAACTCAAAATGTTTTATAAAATACATTCAGACACAATAAAAATGTTGAAATATTAAAATAATAAACAAAAAAATAAAACGCTTAATTACATGCAAAAAAATAAATTAAATAAACTACAGAGTAAAAAACAAAATTAAATTTAGTTATTAAAATAATTTCCGTAGTACTTTGTATAAGTAATTTATAAGCTTTATTCTTATCTATTGTAAAATACTATTTATTTTTATTATTATTATTATTATTATTATTATTTTTTTTAATGAATAATAAATAGCATTAATAAATCTGTTTCAGGACCCACAAACATTTATTAAAATTAAATTGTATAAACTGCAATACAATTTTAATTTTAATTTACTAAATGATTAATTTTATTATAAATATAATGAAAAAAATTTATAAGATTCTCTTAATCATACATTTTACTATCAAACAGATATAAAACTTATTTATTATAAAATATTTATTGTGTCAAGTGTTTATACAAAACCATTAAGTACAGAGATATTAAAGTGAAATAATTAATTTAATTTAAATTACATACATTAAATTAAATTACATGTTTAGAATCTACATTTGTTATTTATAAGATATGTACCAGAGATCATCATTACATTTTTATAATATATAATCACAAAATACATAAAAAATTGAAAATATGAGAACATTAATGGAATATAAATTTAAAAACGGAACAATTAGTAAAGATTTGAAATCAACACAAAAATGAAATATTGAATTCCAAATTTGTATATATAAATACATGACTTATTAGTTTTACATTATGGATAAATACATTATTAGTACAACTTTTATTTAATCACTTATATTTTAAATTTAATTAGCTACATTTTATTCAGCAAAAGTTTAAACAAATAATAAATTTATAGTTCAAACAACTATAATAACCCAACAAAGAAATATATATAATTAAATAAAGGTTAATATAATCAACGAAAATCGAAAACTCAGATAATAAAATGTTGATTTAAAGCCGATTTCAACATCAACTAAATCCTATTTTTGAAGAGTATATAAATTTGATATTTAACATAATTATAAGTAGTCACATTATTAAGAATAATTTAAATTACTACCTATACACGATATTCAATAAATTCAGTTATTATGAACTTTTCAAGATAGTATGAAATTATTATTGTTCAATTTGGTAAACAAATAAAATTTTTTTGCTATCTTATAAATGACCAGTAGTTGAGCACATTAATAAAGTAAATACTTTTAAATCAGTAATTAAGTATATTTTATTTCTTTTCTAATAATTATTATTTTGGAAAGTCAATTTTTTTTTTTTTTTTTTTACTTATTTAAGAACAATAAAAGATTGTTAATCTAGTTCTTATTATTCAACCAGAATTTGAATATATTATAATTATAGTACTTCAAAATGTTTAAAAATACTTTGTACAATTTTGTTTTAATAAAAAAAAATATATATATATATACACACACAACTATATTTAAAGAATTAAACTTACTTAATGTATGTAATATATTATACAATAAAAATAAAAAAATTAGTATTTGCTAAAATATATATCTCGAACAAAAAAATAATGATTAAAACAAAATATTCTAAATTAAGAAAAATTTAAATACAACATTATTTCAACTATTTACTTGTATTATTTCTTTTTTAATAGCTTGTATTTTATTATAAAATATATTATTCTATACATATTTATAATAATAAAAATATTAAAAGCAAAATAATAAAGAATTCAGTTCAAATTTTGTTTATTTGTTAACTTGAATTAAATATTTTGTTTTGTAAATATCATAACATGTAAATCATTGTGCTTCAACTACCTTACATTTTATACAGTAATTATAAGCAATAACAAAAATGAACTTGTTAAAAGCAATTGTGTAATAGTAAAATATAATTAAATTATAGTCCGCTGATTATCTAATTATTATTATTATTATTATTATTATTATTATTATTATTATTATTAT